TATCGTCGATATACGCTAATGACGATTACTGCAAGAAATAATTTCACTTGTCAGTGATCGTCGTTGAGAACACTGAACACCTCGTAAGGCCAAACCACGACAGTTTACCATGTGTTTCATCGTGTTTGGCGGATTTCTAGGCCGCGTTCGATTAGGGATATAGACCTAGACATAATGGCGAAGATGCGAGTCTCATTAAACATGTTGAGTCTCTGAGCGGCGCTAGTTAAGGCGTGAGAACGAGAACGAGGGAGTCCCGAAACTGTTTTTTTTTAACAACTGGGTTGATTCACAAAAAAATAATCTAGGTTCAAGGATCTATCTGTGAATATTTAGAACGTGGAAATTTTGTCAGGCTTCAGCTGTCCTAACAAGTCTTTGCTAGAACAGACGTGATAAAGTTCAAACTGGAAGCCAGACTAGTTGCTCGAGAGCTCACCAAGTTCAGCTACTCTTAATTGCCTCTATTTTACGCAGACGACCTTACCTATCCAAGATTCTCAAGGCTTTTTTATCAGCATCGAAGAGTATTTAAAAAAGCATTAACAGTACCGATAATCAAGAATTCATATTTAACTGAATTTGAAAAGATTTGACCGCAAAGAACTTCGAGCAACCGGATCTGATGATTGCATTGGTTTTTCAACATGAAATGTGTACTCTTTGACAAGCGCTCTTTTTTTTTACAAAAAAAAAAAAATTTTTTTTAATATTTCGTCAATCAGCCGCACAATGAATCTTTCATATTTGAATGATTGGTTGATGTTTGCGTATTCTAATGCAAACCAGTAGTATAGCTCACGGTAATTTGTTTACTGATAATGTTTTTGTTTACCTGCACGTTAAGCATTATAACACAACGTAAAGTCCTCCAGAGAATACTGTATAGGTGGCACTCAAAATCCATTACTTCTCAATACAAATATTGCTATGCAAGTGGTTTCACCATTTATCTCATCACTAAATGATAAAAAAAAAAAAAAAACAGCTATACTCCGAGGAGCATTTGGTTGGATGTCGTTCACCCTGAATCGCCCCGTGAGAGTAACCTGTCCGTTCTACGAGTTCTAATCGACACGTTACTTTGAGGGCAAAAATTCTACACTTAGGGAAGTAAATAATTATACTCTGAAATAAACGAATCAGAACACTCGGCTATCTAGCCTAGAGCGTAGAAGCAGGCTCAGAGCGCAGTATTTCGTACGGCAAAGTATCCACGACTTTACTTATATTAAGTAATTATCCCTATGTAACGTGTGCACTGATTGGATAGATGATGTAGCAATCTTGTTTATTATATTTTTCCTTACGCAAATATATATGCAATGGATGTTTGCTAGTCTCAGTTTACAGATACAATATCTCGGACATTGACTGACTAATGTCGCGTGTGTCTAAATCTACGGAAGGCACGTTTATAATCCATCTTAAATTTCTATAGTCTACTTGTTGAAGCTAAGTGTTACCCGACCATACAGAGGTGAACCCTAAAAGACCACTTTCGGTTTCGTAGCGATGTGTTCTTCTTATACGTGCGGTTTTAAACGACGACAAGCCAACTTGAGATCTGGCTGAAAGGATGAACGCACTTCCAAAGTAAGGCCAGCGTAAATATTGTCAAGCAAAACAATTGCTTGTCGTATCGTAAAACGGGGTAATTAGAAAGGTCTGGGCATATTAAAAAAAAGCTTATCTAGCGACATATGCCCAAGGCGCTTCTTGTGGGTTAAGTAATGAGCACTAGGTTTCAATTATGGGTGCAACTGAAAAGTGGATAGAATTGTGACGTGAATAGATAAACATTCACGTAAAATGATTTTTTGATAGTTGAACCTTCTACTGCAGCATGCGCTATATGTAACTGAGCAGAAGGCATTACGTCATGTAACAGCTGGTGGACAAAGACCAACCAACACATGGGCTAGATTTATCAAAGGTCTTAGAAGGATAGAACATCCCTTCACCAGTTTGGAGATGAAATGACAGAACCACGAATCGAAAACATGAAATGCTGGTACTTTAGCTTAGGTAGTGGACGACAGAATACTTCACGAGGAAGGTGTATATTTGAGTGATAGATAATAGTCCACATAATAATTTAACATGCTAAAAAAAAACTCTGTCACTAAAGTTTATGCAATATAAATTTATAATGATCAGCGGTCGTATGATTCATGCAATGCATAGAAACTATCAGAAAGCGCTTATTACGATCACTGCTGTCTTGGTCGATTCATTCATCGATTACCATCATTGGCAACGCCGATGATTCCCGAGCCGCCATACTTACAAATGATTCTCGTAACTAGCAGGGTAAGAGGGTTTTGCCTGTCGCATTAGGTATAACAGCCCGCCGTAAACTCGAGTAGTCTGGGTCCGCGCCAAGTGTTTTCCGCAGATAATTTTTTTGCGTGGTCTAACCCGTAGTGCAGTACTATTCTAAATTAATCATGATCAAAGCGGAGCACAGTCAATGTGCCGATGGTAATGAGAATATCGATGTGATCCAGGCCAGATTCGAGGCGTGTCCTTAAAAGGTGTCCTTGCAGCCCCAACAAAGAATCATCTGCCCAAAGTGCTGGAGGCGTTTCTCTGTGCAAGGTCAAGCCACACATCAACAACGGCCAACGACTGGCGGCAAGCCAAACCGCGTCGAAAAAAGAACCCCTGACGCTGAAGCGAGACACCGTCTGGCGGACGGAAAAACAGCAGGCCCAACAGTCCGATTCGAAGGAATGGACGTCGAGAGCACGACAGCGTGTTACAGATGCGTGCACCACAAGTGTCTTCTCGAAGAAGCAGCAGCAGCTGCCGAAGCCCAGCTAATGCCCCAAGGAATGCCAGTGTGAAAAACAAAGGTCATCGTGCGCTCTCTGCGGGGGTAGACGCCGACAGCATGAATACGCAGCTAGCAAAGTATTCTAGCGGAAAGGACTAATCGTCAAGAAAAAAAAAGCTAAATATATGTTTTAGCAATCGTCATCTGCTACTGGGAGCCGTTTATTAGGCCAGCTAATTATTTTATTCGCCTATGGAGATAGCCGTACCCTCGAGAACGAGCCAACAGGAGCGGCTATAGACAGCGTTCGCGACTGAACGATATAGCAGTGCTTGAAAATGACACACTTGCGGTAGGTGTCGCGGTTGCAACCTCTGTATGACTAGCGGAAATCATTGTAAAGAAACCACTGCTTTTCTATATTTTTTTGTAACTGGTACTTTGAATAAGTTGTCTGTTAGAAAATTAGGGTCGTCTAATCTCCTAAAGACAAGCGGGCTAAGTAAGTACCTAATCAACAAATGGCCGTGTTTCTTAAAACCTGGTTTAGTCCGCGCTGAATACGGCATATCCGGGTTTGTGCGCGCAATGACTGACATGTGAAAGATTTGAAAAGTTATCCACTGAGCCGTAGAAGGTAATTCCTCTTGAGCAAAGAACTTTCTTTCGCGTTTCTTGGATACTCGAATAGAGCTCGTTGATGCAGGTCTGGTGGGGTCGGTCTTCGCGGAGCAAAATGCGATGGTGTAATTTTGCTGTTCAACGCCAACTGCACTGCAATTAACATTATTCCAAGAACCAAAGTGACCCACGTTCTGTCAACACGTTAAGCAAAATTAATTTTTTGAACAAACTTTCGAAGCACAGTTGGTCGAATTGCTACTTTTGCTCATTAAACGGGCAAAAAGAAAATTCGGTACGGACAAATGCTGCTGTCGGACGCGGACCCGATTTCTAGTGCTCAGTCACAAACGTCGTCTCACAAACAGCAAGATTTAACCTGTTAAAAAATGCACTAGAAACGTAATCTCCCTAAATAAGGCTCAAGCATGCGAGGGATGTTTTTTTTTCCCTATACTGTACAGTGGCTATTGTAACCTATCTCGTTCAAATCTAGATAATTCGACCATTTGGGCTATGAACTGCCAATACCCTAAAATTTTAGCTCTCTCCGGATTCTAACAGTCGTCAATTTCCCTAGATTACTAAGCTATTTAAGTATAATAAATTCCTTATTTTAATGGGGCGTAAGGAACCAGGCACCAAGTATTGTTACAAACTACTATTTTGTCAGATTTGTTCCCAACCTGTTCCCATTCGTCCAGTATAAACTAGGACAGAATTGTAATGATAAGATCAGTCAACCGTTACGTGCGTTATTCATATATGGCTTCGATAAATCTATTGCGGGATTTTGAATGGGTCGTATACGAGAGTTTTTCAAGCACCTAAACCAAGTTATAGCAACCTTAGAGGAATAAATGGGTTGTCATATGGAAATGATGGTTATAACATTGTGCTATCCAATAACCACAGTTCAGCTTGCAATGATGCTTCTCTATTGACGATCTACTGATCATCTGTCAATTTTTAGCTGTGACAAAACTGGGCGGTCCACAGTGGCGCGTCGCGTTATTGGACGCTCGGTTTATTCGTAAAGTTAGCTGATTCCGTGTTCGACGACAATCGACCGTTTGTATCAGAACGTGAAGCTACTTATCTAATTGCCTTCACACCTTTTGACTTACGTTACGGTCATAATGACAACTACGTCGTTATGACCGTAAACGTCTCCGCAGGATGATGACTTGTCATCATCACTTGTCTAAATCGGTGTGAATTTTGTCCACCCGGCAACGTGACGTTGCTAGTTAGGAAAAACACATACTCCATTGAACGTATTTTATTCTGTCGGCCCAGTTAACAGTTTCGAGGGTCGGACACGCCATTACGACGTCTATCATTGAGTCAGTAACTTTAGCTTTTCTGAAAATGCCCTCTAGTGGCCTTTTCTGAAATTGCTAATTTACCAGATATAGCTTCTTTTTCTAGCGTAAATTGATACACGTATTAGATATATACGATATAACGCAAAGCTTCTTATTAGGTTATTAAAAAATATACAGCTGCACTGTTTATTGAAATGTGTTTATGCATGCGTATCCTGTGTTCTCTCATACAAGTATCCTGAAAGAAATATTTTGTGCTCGATCCGTTGCAGGTCGATCGGAGTCGTTGAATGTGGAAAAACGACTACTTACCATGTATTTTTCTAACAAAGACAATATACGCCAAACGAAAATGTGATCTCAATCCTAGCTGGCGATTAGGCCTCTAGATAATCGCTCCCTATTCAGCTTAGATCTACATAAGCATGAATTTTTTAATGAGCGGTTAGCCGTGATGTACCAACACGGTTCTCTTGCGAGTACCGTCATAGCCCATACAACTGATGCATAATCACACATATCCCATCTGATGATTGGTCGGGATATCGTCGGAGCGCCAAGCCCCATGAAGAATTTCCGAAGAGTCGATAAACCATACTGTCCCAGTAATTCATTACTGTTAGTTTGGACAAATACGAGATCCCGCGTGTTAACTGGATTAAATGTTTCGAGACCAAGACTCGTAAGTATTTCTCTTGTCTCAATTATACGTTCGGATGTTTTCGTGAGTACTATTGTCCTATATTGTATATATATATTGTATTTGTACTATTGAGAAATGTAAACCTTGATGCCCCGTAAATAAAAATGCGGGAGGCGGAGATCATTCCAAACCGGCTATCTAATTTTAGTAATCCCAAAAAGGTGTTAGGTGTATTGAGATTGGCTCACGGTCATTGGCACCACAGCGTCTCAAACCAGTAGTGCCATAATAGGGACTACTATTTCGATAAACAGGCACTTTTAACATATGGATTCTCCTGGATTCGACTGTGCCCTTATCGGTATTCGGCCTTATGCAGTAGCAGTATTCTTGTTGTTCTTTCCTTTTTGTACATAATTTGTGCTTTACATGCTCATGCGAAGTTAAAACCGACGTTCCAGTTTAACGCTTGACATCCTGGATTTGCTTGCTAATTTAGACGCGTAAAGTTCTGATCTGGATTACAGATTAGTGTTTCCCACGGAGCTACTGTAATCTTCTAGTATTAGTTGTAACTGCTCATTGCGGATCTAATTAAGATTCATATGAAAGTAGTTTCAGAATCCACAGGCAGTATATCGAAGTCGGTCCTGATAAGACTGCAAGCACTATTTCCTGACAGGCCAAAAACAAAGAAAAAAACAGATACATACAACGTCTCCGAGCTTTTTCATAATCATGTTGAACATAGAAGTTAGGAGTTTGTTAACGAGGGCCCTTTGATCGTAACAGCTCTCATCTAGCTAGACCATAGACAAGCACAGATATTTTAGGGTATCCCTCTAAACAAGACTTAAGGAAGTTACATTAATAAAAGCCTCTGCGTGCTACATTTTTTCAGGGCCGCACATTTACATACAAATCTAAGAACAGGTAAAATTCGTATGTAGTTGGATCACCTTGAATGTTTTATTTTTGATAATGTGTGGTATGGCGCCTGATTTGAAAGGGTGTTAAGCGGAACGGAGTTTCCCAAGCCGGAACGGCCTTTGTCCAATTTAGCTGAAAAGATCAATACCGTAAACGCGATTTAGTGGATAAGTAAATTCAAACGGTAAAATTAGCATAGTAACTTTACCTTCTGGATGTGTTTTCCTGCGAAGTTTAGTCGGGAGATGCCGGAGCAATTATTAAGTGAATCGAAACTTCTAACTAGTCAAGTCGTTTTCGACCTATTAACCGCAGATGTAGCGTATTTGAAGCCACGCTACTCAAGCGAAGTCTTCTTTGGAAACTATATATAGTTGGAAAACACAATTATTTTTATAATGCGAGAACTAAGGTTTCCAAGGTGCAGATATGCCAAAAGATATTTAGCGGCCTATTTCTGATACAGAATAAATTGAGGTAAATTAATAGTGCACACAAACCTCAGAATCGTAGATAACGGTTTTAGGCCCCATTATAGGTACACGCGTCTACCTGAGCTGCGGCACATTACCACGATTTAGTTTCAAACGCATATTTTTCTCGCTTTGAAGCTCGGAATATCGTAATTGACGTACATTGTAGAAGGCATCGTCTAAAGAAGGAAAACTAATAGAACACAGAAGCGAATCGACTTCTATTAATTATATCTCTATACTTTGTAACGAAGATCCGCAATTTCAAAGTTTGCTACAATTCTTCGTTGTATAAAAATAGAGTAATTAGAGTAAAAAAATTATATTTTTGAAGTTACTGAACTTTTTGTCCTGCGCACGGGGCATTTCAGTTGAACAAATTGCTTTGTTCTCACTTGATAAAAAACGAACGATACATTCATAAATTTAGTCATACTAATTTATATATATAAATATATATATATATATATATATATATATATATATATATATATATATAAGAAGAACAAAAATTCCCGTGACCGACATTTTCCGAGTTAAGATAGACTTTTGAGCAAACATCTGACACTTCTCAAATGAAAAACGCAGCTAATAAAATTAAAAGAGATATTTGAAAAATTCAAAATATCCTTATTACATCAAAGCTGAAAGCTAAATTTATGCCCGTAAATTAACCCGAAATTCATTTTCCCCAGTTTTGTTGCGTTACATAATTAAAAAGTTGTTATATTTGCTGACTTGTATCGATCACGAGGTCAATATCACTTGCAGTACAAATAACAAAGGATTAATATTTAACAAAGCTGCCGCCATAGCTGGTAAAATTGCCGTAATTGAGTAAACCTACGGATCACCAGCTTTGGAGCACATGGGAGAAATTCTACAAAAGCGAGTACTGTCGTATGATTTCAGTAGCCTACATTGTCTAGGTCGTGGCCCATAAACCAAGCGAGAAGATGATTTATACAATGTTGATAGTAGATGCTTGGGATTAAACCGAAAGGCCACTATTGAAACAGCTTTGTCAAACTATCACCAAGATTACCACTTCGAACGTGACTGCGAATAGACGTTTTAAGCTTTACGCTCTCAAACGTTGCTTCAGACGCCTGGCTCTCAGCACGAGCATGAAACGAAGTGTCTGCGCCCGGTTTTTTTCAACCTGAATCATTTCACGTACCCCTAAGTTTAATAGAAACTTAGGGGTACGTGAAGTTAGTTGTTACTTCGAACGACACTATTAAATATTCATGTGTTAATACTACGTCGCCATTCGACAATGTACAGATTTCTAATATTTATCCTGTACCTAGTTATGTCTCTTTGGTAAAAGGTACCATATGTCCACTGGTGTGGAACTAAGGGAGTCATCTATTAGAAGCTGCCTCGTGCCGAAGATACTTCGGACTGGCAGTACAGTGAGGCACATATTTACAGATATTGATTAGGTAAATCTCAACTATGTGGTACGATTGTCATCGAGCTATCATTTCGAAACAGCACTTATCCAACACAGATGCGATAACCAACCTCGTCAAATACATAATACGTGCATAGCGCGGTCGGGCACAAGGGCACAGTTATGGCATACTTATAATCATAGAAGTTGAACCGCCATATTCGGAAATTGTGCTGTTGGCAATAGGATGTCTTTCATTATAGTACGTGCTAGGTGACCTTAAGCAACAGGTCCATCGTTCTTCAACGGTCAAGTCGACGTTTCCCTCTAAACAGCTTTTACAATGTATTCTCAAACAAATAGTGAAAGAGCTATTTTATGTTCAAATTATGAGTAACGATGGTAGACCAAGGTACCGTGAAATGACAAGTGACTTGTTTACATGAACGCGATCGGTTTAGAGGTGGCCAGCCAGTGGAAGTCAATATCATCGAAATATATGTTTATTTGTGCAGATGCTTACGAAGTCGTTCTGCTTGATCAGATGTGCACGATCTCAAAATGTCATGTTAAATAGCGTAACAGATTTATCGACCAGACAACATGTTCTGACCAATGCAAAAATGCACGCTGGCCTGTGCTCTAAAGTTTGCATATCATCAGATCAGTGCAGTGCTGCTCCTCAGAACAACTGCAGTGATGAAAAATCCACTTCCAGTTAAGATAAAGACAGCCGGGCTCGCAGTTGGTCTCTATGAAAGCGTGCAAGTAGATTGAGATTTACGACCTATTACGTGAAAATAGACAGCCACGTGATCAGTCGCGTGTACAACTTCTTCATTCGCGCATCAATCGCTTGCCACTCAGAAAATCATCTGAAGATGTACGCAATACAGATGTACGCAGAATATCTGCACTACGATTAAATGAGATCGAATCGACTGCAACAAAACTATCTAAGAAAAAAAACCTCCATCAACTCTTTCGGATTTTAAATATGTCTGCTATCATAGGGCGCAGAGAAAATTAGATGTTGTTAAAATACGTACGTCCTAACCAGCGTAGCTTTCACGATGCCGCCATGTAAAACGCTCGTAATTAACAAGGTCATCGTTAGATAGAATCTGAATTACTAGACAGAAGGATGCCTTCGAAGAAAATCACAGCGCATCTCCTGTCAGATGACAAACAACTAAGCTAAGCTAAGCTTAGCTAAGTTAAGCTGCTAAACAAAAATCAAGTTTCGATGTGAATCAATAAAATTAATCTAACAAAAGTTTGTAAAATGCAGTTGATCTTTGCTTTCCGGCCCTATAGTCCATTACCGTTGTTCTAGCTTTGAATAATCGATCTGTGAAACAATGAAACGGTTCCAAACATTAAGAAAGCTGATTCTGTGGCTTCTTATTTATTATTATTTTTTATTATATTATTATATATTATATTTATTATTTATGTTCGCCCATTTGGACAGCAAAGTTTTTATGAGTTTGGCTACACAAATCTCTTGGCTCTGAATATTAAAGTTGTAGAACGTAAGTTACAAGCACCCGCCGGAGTATCTTACTGCTGATCTAATATGACTCCATGTAAACTACGGATGTTTTGGTGTACTTCCTATAGAAGTCCTTAAAAATAGTTGTGAAAAACACCGGGAAAAAGGCTATTTAATTGTGTACATCGAAATACAGTATGCGGTAACTCAGAGACCATCTTTGACTACTTTAGACAGCGGTATAACTTTTATTCCAGCTATACTTCGCGAGAAAATCACGAGTGCTTCGTATCGCCATAACACCAGTCAAAAACCCTATTTAATAGAATTCTGCAGCGAACCCTTCTCCTGCAGGTTTGAGATTCATCTCCATATAATCTATGTGCTATCCTACTAGATAAGTGGTCCTTTAGGCCTAACCCACATAAATTTTGCAAAATGTTTCAGGAGAAGTTTTCTGAAAAACGGAACCATAGGCGCTAGCTGAGTCGCAATCTCCTCCCGTTCAGTCCACATCAGATGCCTCTTCGTCTAAGAGAAACTGTAGTTCATGGTTAGTTCTCAATTATAATACACTCAGTAGATACTGAAGTTACTGGTTAATAGTTGTCAACTGTGGTGTTCCTTCGCTTTCTGTAAGTCTTCTAAGACATTGAAATAGTGCGGAATGGAATTTTCTTTAAAACCTTTTCCGATTCAGGCGAAAATATGGCGATCTTCCGTAGACAACGCAGAAATGCCATGCTACAATACAAGCTAATTGTAGATGGCGCACACTAATTTTCTACCGTATCTTTTCAGTTTAAGAGATTCAGTGTTAATTTTTGTAAAACAAAGTATTCGGCTTTATCTAACACAATTAGCATTAACATACATCATTGAACTTATTGTAGCGCTATCAAAGAGCTCGCTACTTGTAATTTTTTCATTGGCATGTCATATACTTTTTGTAGGAACGGACTGTCGTGGAGTATTATGGTGTAACCGATCAAAATAATTACGTAACACTTTATGGCTCGCTTTTTAAACAGTATTATATAATATAACATTATCGATGAAGTATTTAAGGGATCCCACTTGGACGGTTGACCAGCGTCGTCTCCACCATGGAGGGCAACCATTTCAGTGAAACTGGCAGTAGACCGGTTGCATTCATTTGCCATTCTCCCCTTTTCGAATTGAATGAAGTCAATTATCATTACTCGATACCCACATTAATAACCAAAACAATTTACAGTTGAGTAACGCGCAAATTGTTTGCCCCTTCTCTGCAAGGAAGTCTTGACGAGCCGTGCTGGAGGTATTTGTTATTTATTCAGTAAGTTACTTCGTTGCAATGATAACTCAGTGGGTGATGTGTTTGGCGTTCTGGAGTTGGCGATATATGGTGGCCTGAGTTCCAATCCGACCATACGCGCACTTCGTCTTGTTGTGGGAGCCAGCCTCAAACAAAGACAGGCTTAATTGCCCCTTCTAACCGTCCAGTTTTCCTTCAATCGGTCAGACTGAGCGATACCATCTCTATGGACTGGCGCAAAAATAAAGCTTATTTCTACTTCACAGAAAGCATAACTGCCATTTCAGCAAAAGTAGGGAATAAACCGAGATAGTCCTAATCATAACGTAGTTTATGAACGAATAGTTTATCCGATTAGCGGACGACCGTTAATAGCATAAACGGACGTTTATCAGTGCTCACTTTGACTAGTCGTCTTCCGGTGAGTATTTATCGAAATTTAGATGCAGCCAAAATAATTACAGATCAGATATAATACAGGCCGTCTTGAGAACTACTGGAAACATTTTGGCACATCTGTTAGCCAGGTCTTTCTTAATTCTATAGGCTATATAATTAGTGAGGCCGTTTTTCAATCATTCGGTTACCCGGCAATGAATAAACAGTTACTCATATATTGCCGCAGACTATTTAGCTATAATATAATCGAACATTACACCGAGCGCAAATACCGTGCTCCTTAGTTCCGTACCCTTACGTATCGAACCAACGGCTTGGTCTTCAATTCACTCACTGCTACCGCATGTTACGCAGCCTCGATTCCACTTAAACTTCATATCGTTTTGCAATAGCCCCTTATGTGTGCGTTTCAGGTTTAAAATTGAGCATACTGCGTACGTGACATTAAGCAACACTTAAAAAAGAATTAGGATGTGATTCGCTTGTTGCTTCAAAAAGGGTTCACTAGACCATTCAACTATCGGTGGAAGAAGGGGGACCGTCATAAACTCCTGCAAAAGTGCGAGATGAACGCGACATTAATTTTATGACAGGAAGATTGTCGAAGCCTCGGATAGAGCAAGTTGTGTAAAGCGTACATGAATGCCATGGAGTAGCAGAATACAAGTTTATGGCAACTTATCGTGTGCATCTATTGCTAGTTGTTCGCAAGGGCTCCACAAAGCCAATACAGACTCCATCGTTCATTTAGTCATTGGAAGATGTTTGGTGTGGCAATCTGTTTACACTTGCTGCTTCTGTTAAGATAGCAGTTTCTGACCAAGTTTTTCGGAGCTCGTATTTAATATTGGCTTAATATAAACTTGCGATCCTCGGCAATACTTTAAAAGCTTCTTATTAAATGTCCATATTGATATATTTAACATCGCAAGCCGTGTCATCCATCTTTATAACCAATTTATGCAAACGTTTTTCTGCTTTGAAGGATAGTTGCTAGTAATAGTCATTCGTTTATGGGGGTCCTAATGGCCGAAAACATACGGCATTTGGTGTGTACAAACTAGGTGGCGGAGGATTACAGAAATTAACAAACTAGCAACACATACTTCATGGACTCGAACTTTGTGACCAAATGCATGGCGCCTTTAGCTCTGCGGCCAACTTGTGTGGACCAGCCTCTCTGGATTTCTTCATCCTTCCTGCAATATTAATGTGTTCTCTGCAACCATCAACAAGTTACCCCGAATGCTGAGTTAGTGCCCAATCGATTCTCATTTAATGTATAGTTCAGTTTACAAACGTACTGTCCGCTCTGCTCGACATGATACAAGGTGGGACTTTATGGTAGCGAAAAACAGAGCAAAAAAAAAGAGGGAACATGAGAAACTGGAAGTGACAACGTACTTTTTGACCATATTCATTACTCATAGCAACAATCGACGCTATCAATAAACGAGATCAAAAATGACCCTAGTAAGTTTGAAGAACTGTAAGTGTAGTAATACACATCGCGGATTGGATGACCCCTAAGCGCGTTTCGGTCTGGCTGTCTAGGCCAACACGAACTGGAGCTCTAGTTCCAGCTTTAGCTCACAATCCTTATGAGAAGTTCGCACTCGAACTTCTCATAAGGACTGTGAACTAATGGTGGACCGAGGCAGCTTCTTTCGGCCCTGATTACTTAAGTTACTGTCGTATCTGATTCCTGCACCAATTCTAGCTTCTATTCGAATATCTAGTATTGACGCTGCTGTTATCAGTAATATAGTTGATGGCTTTAAAACGGCATTTAAACGGGCTACTTTTGCATGTTTTCTTGAGCGACGCTCGCATCAAACGTACATAGCATATCTGGACCGTCTAACTATATGTCTGTCAAACAGAACTACGTAGTCTCTGCATATTCACTCCATATTAGAAAAAAGACATCTGCAAGTATCGGACACAGCTTTAAGGACAACAAATATAGGGAAGTATCGAACATTTTGGTTAGAACGGACGATATAACGGGGCTCACATACGATTTATGTGAGCCCCTGTCTCCAGCCTCTGCCGTGACGTGGCAAGATATTACTCGTTGAGCCAACTTTTTCAATAATAATTTAATTTCCGGCCAATTTGGATAGATCTGTATTATGCAGTGACATCACAAAAGCGCAAACGTATACACTGTGGATGTGTGAAAAAAAAACCCTGTAGAAAAATAATAGTCTCCAAGATTGATGCCATTTTAGGTTTGTAGATGAGTATTTCACACCTTAGTAAATAAGTTCAATTGACTATAATCTCTCACTGGTTGTCTACTGAGGATCCGAGTTTCACTTATTCTGCACGAAATCCAGGAAATGTTAAAATTATTGGTTCAGTCGGCTACATTAGCTTAGGTTTCTTGTGTTTTCTTCCGAAAAGGCATATTACCGCCCCCAATCCTCAGGGTCAGTTTATGACATTTTTGCTAACATTATTAATCTAGGGAAAGAAACAGGCACCCGAGATGTCCTAGTCTCGGCGCCTATTGCATATAGAACTATAGATATAGCAGCTGTCATACCGTGTGGCGTATCTCACTAATTACAAGAGCTAACGGCTAAGTAGGAAAAAAAACAAAATATATTGAGAGAATACATATGCCTAAGATGCAAAATCTGTGCGCATCCGTAATCTGGCAGTTATACCACAGCATGTTATGGTAGGACATCGTACTTTTGCTTGCTGCACAGTTTTTTTCTAACATGGTTGATCTTGCCTGTTAATGAATGATCATTATTCTACTCTATCGCTGCAAATGTAGAAAAACGAGATTCTAGCGTCTTCTTAATGCAACGCAATAGAAATAAAAGTTCACGATAAAATAGACGCAAAAGCAATTCTGTTTTTGATCTAAAGTTAGCGTTTAGTCACTTCTTATCTACTTTACTTGAGGAAACACCGAGCTTTTGGCTCTAATGGGGACCGTACACGGGGTATCCCCGTACATCCAGGTGCCTCGGACGTTAGTAAACATTTTTATAACGACCACGTTCCCCAATTGATTAATAATACAAGAATTATGCGGTGTGTATGACGGGTTGGAACGCTAAAGCTCTTCTGTATGCTGCCTGATCATTGATTTTGGCGTCACTGTTCAGGTGCATTTCCGGTAAAAAAATGTTTAAACTAAATACAAACTTCTCCTACAAACTTTAGTCGGAGACATTTTTTTTAATAATAAACTGAGTTTCAACGTTACACTTCTCGGATAGAACGTTCGGAAGTTTAACAGCAATGGCTTTTAAACTTGTTGTTCAAATCTAAATATTTTTGAACGGTGAACTCTCAACTTAGGACGTCTCACTGCTTTTGCTAACAGCATAATTGGTATATCCGTTATGGTCTAAATCAAACTGTACTATCAGAAAAGTCACCTTAGGAAGGAAAGTTATGAACTTTACAGTCAATTACAGGTTCACTGCCAAGATTTGAGCTAATGGTTCCCTTGTGACCATGGAACATTCCCATAGGCTTATAAATTTATTCTACATTCAACACAACGTCTTGTCTATCAAATAAGTGCGCCTTTCTGGTTTTCGTAGCTTTCTTAGCTGTTATGGAAGAAGAAGCGGATAGAAAAGAAGAGACAGGATCCTGCTGCATTTTACACCGTAGCTCACTATTTGAACGACTATTTGATATTTAAAAAAAAAACATATCCTTTAGTTCTGAGAGCCCTTTACGTCTCCTATAGTATTGTCAGGCCTCAAACTTCCTGCCCAACTTTTTCGATACTTCAGCTTTCGTTGGAGAATGAAAGTGATTCGATGTCACGAGAACTCGGGTCCGTTTTATGCGCTAAGACTTCCACTCGACACCCTGAGCCCAATAATTAACATGAGTCGAGATGGAGATTTTATGTTGTCGTCACTAGCAATATTGTGCGGATGATCTCATTCACCCAGACTATGAGATGTCGCTTAGGCGGATAGCACAGTATATAATTTCAAAGGGATAACTGCGACAGAAGTAGTAGTGGAAAAGATTTATGTCGGGCTGTACCTAAGTTCGCTATAATGCAGTTTGGCTCAAAAGATAGAAGGTGAGGAAAGCCTTATTCTAAAATTAATCTTTTGTTTCATGTGTTCGCAGCACCGTGGCCCATAATAAGACTCTTGGAGTCGAAAATTCGACTACTTAACGCACTTGCTACATCTGAAGCCAATATCTTCAAATCGCACCCGCCTATTTTCAAGTTTCCATTCCAAGTAGCACAATTGCAAATCCTCCCAATAGATATCACAAAGGAACAAGGCTTTTCATTGCCTCTCAATGTTTCGCAACTGTCAGCAACACGTAGCAACAGTAAAATATTTCAACACAGAGTTTCTACAAGTAATAAAGGGTATTGTCTCCATGTTAATAAGAAAAAAAAAAACACAGAGAAAGGGATAGGTACTTCGAATTCACATTTTGAGGCATTGGGGAAGTTTTATACACTTAGAAATTCATGATAAAAACAGACCGATGAACAGGAACTTGTATACAATCTAGCTGTAAATGAGTGAGGCTGTCCGAAGGCCCAAAGCCTAAGTTATTATTTTTTGCAACAGACTGCACACGGTAAAGATTATGCAAACTGCCCTACAAAAGCTTGAGTAGAAGACGCGCTATATTCCCCAGACCTGTAATGGATAACCGTGTGTTCTAATGACTGATAACTAAAATTGTAACAAAAGATATAAAACTATTTGTGTTCCAACATAATACACTTCCAAGTGATTCGCAAATTGCACCCTTTTTATTAGCGTCTTAAGAATTTCCTGCCGCAGTTAACATAAAAATTTCCTCGTGAAAGCTTAATTGATATTTTGTCCGCATTTTTTTCATATCAGTCAGCTACTCTTACTCAGTCGGCTGTTGTTTCAGGCTGAAATATATGGTTAGACTAACATGGAATCGGGATATCCGAGCAGAGCTATGCCTGAAGGCTTAGCTGGTCGTCACACTTTCTGGACACAGGTCGTCATATCTTCTGGTTACAATAATTCCATCGAAATCCAAGTACACCGCGCTTGTACCTTTCCACGGCCAGACCATTCTAATATATGTTGTTCTCCTGTGTACTGTATCAGTCGTCGAGTATCACATAAAACCACCCATGGCGGCATGGCCAAAACCTGTAAGGTTCGCTTTCCTCTCCGGAAATTACTATCTTTCTTGAAACAGGAGCGCTCTATGAAGTTCAATCTTCTGGTTCACCCGAAAGTTATGCTGTGACGCTGGATAAAGTCAGGACCACATCAGGCCTTCATGTCAATATTAATAGTCAGATGGGTCACATTATCGGGCCATTATTATTGACATATATAACCTATTATTCCAGTGGCTGTATCAGCCTGTGACAGATGAAGCTTGCACCTCGTCAGTTTGTCTCGGCATTTTTTAACTTCTTTTTCACTAATCTACTTCGCTACCGTAACCAGTTGATTAAAAAAATGACCGACAGCAACAGAATGCTCTCCGTCTTGGTGCCGAACGTGAAAGATACAATTACTTTTGCCATCTTCTTTTCCTTTTAGCCGTATTCGGTAATTTAGCCTCTACCGCAAGACGATAAAGCAACGATAGTTTGTTATACGTTGTTTTCGATTTTCGCCAGAATTGTAGGAAACTACATTTTCGGTAAACGTAAACTTGGAGTTTACCAACTTTGCCGAATGTTGTTGTTGTTGTGCTTAAAACCACCTATTACTAATAAATTATGCGTCTCGGTCGTAATTTCAATCATTTTAAATACTATCCGTTGCTTTTTTGTGCGATATCTGCTTGGCGTCTCCTTTCTACACCTTTCTAGTATAATTCAATGAAACTTCGCATTCGTACAGTCTATTGCAGGAAAGACTGCGTCATCTTAACACAGTATGCCCGCATGTCTACAATCAGTCTACTTTCAGTCATATACTTTTTGGATAGAAAGGAAAGTACAACTGCAACTTATTGATAGTTTCTTAATTTTCGCGGTGAATTTTCGATGCTAAAAAATGCTCTTTACACAGCAGAATTTTGGATTAAACCGATTATTTGGTAGCATATGAAGACGATTATATACGATTAGCCTTAAAGGATAAGGAAATACAAAGGGTCAACAAGGAATAAAGTATACGAGGGGCATGTCCGTGCAGAACCACCGTTAGCTGCATAAGTGTGCCTGATATACAATCTTCGCATTTACTCATTATAACATTTTTGGCGCTATTTTTTTTATATCGGCATATATTAATTAGAGAAAAAAACTGGACTGGGCATTATTTGTTTTACTTGTCAACAGTTGATATCTAACCCCAATAATTGTTAACCCGTTTCAGTGAAGGCGATGAACCGTGAACGGTGCACTTCCCAAAGTTCGAAGATGTTAAAAAAAATGAGGACTCATCCAGTTGATATACACGACAAAGGGTTCCGTCGTCGACCATAATCACGACAAAAAAGCCAAACTTTACACGAAGAAACGCGGCCGATTAAAAATGCACGTTTGTCATAAATGATATGCTTAAAAATAACCAAAAGCCCACATGTATGCAATCTGTTAATATATCAGCTCACCATATGATTATATTTGACCAGCGTAAACATACTTCCATTCTATACCTGAAACATATTTAAAAACGCCTCACCGCGCCATGAGCGACTGGCTCTTAAACCACGGCGGTTAATAACGGAAAGTGTCTCTTAATTGTAAGACTGGCATTGTCAACCTGGGATTCCTGGTAATCACGTGCACCTGGGGCTATGCCTTCATGATAATACCAAAGCGCGTACTCACCTGAAATTCATAGAAAAAACCGATATTGGAATGAGAAGTCACAGTATTAACGTTTCAGTTAGACTGCTTTGGATGTACACTGTTGTGTATAAGGATACTTTTATAGAGATGTAAATGATCTCAGACAGTCGAAAATTCGCAATGCTGGTCAGTCACTAGCCAATGCGGCAAGATCCAGGGTCAGGATCTGCTTATCTACTTAACTAGTCGTCCGATCCTGTCTAACTCGACGGCTGCAACGTAAGAGGTCCCTTGAGGCCCTTGGCTTCACTGTACCTAATATCGTTTGCTGAGGTCCCTGCCGCCTAAGATTAATCAGAAGTATAGAAACGCTTGCGTCGAAATGACTATTATATTATATAATCGTGTTCGACAAAACAATGGAGCAAATACGTACCGTATCCCAGCTAGACCAAACCCAGAGAGTGGAGTTTGTGCGGGTAGAATGTATTACCCGGGGCTGATAATTTTGCCATACCCAGTTGCGTACGCACGCAATGTATTAATGGATTTGAACAAACCCATTTATAGCTACCCTACTATATTTCCATACCAAAAGGATTAGGTCAAAATACTTGACTGGTTACGATTGCTGGATAAAGCGTACTTCTTATCCGTTCGCTGTCGTTTGGATCGGCTTATTTGATGTAATGAATTACCGGTATGATACTAAGAAAAACAACAAATAAAATTATCCACTTTATATGCTAGAAAACATACTATTCGCTAGGCGAGAGACAGAGCCGTGAAGCACAAGTACTTGGTAAACCAGTAAATAACGTATAAAAAATAGTTTCTCTCAAATAGATACATAAATTAAATTTATTGTCGTAGTTAAGATTCATATTGCGTTTTTTCCGGACGAAATATGAAAAATGATTTCATATTCGACGCCAAAAACACAGGTAATAGACACATAATTATATTATATATGCATCGCCCATAACTTTTGCCGTTAGAGTAAACTAATGTTAATACTAAAAGTTCCCTTAAGCTTTCAGTTCACAGTAAACGACAGCAATTGTACATGTACTAAGAAATAGCTTGGATTGTGTCGCTGCATTGTGAGTGTCGCTCACACGTTTATCTGGCCTGACCAACAGATGCCCTAGTAGATTTTGCCCTTGCGGATGTCTAGGCTTTTCTAAACGAACAGACAGATTCTCCCACCGAAATGGGCCATAAACGTTTACGACGGCTCGTTCTCGAGGGTAGAAGGTACATTTTAATTAACATACTGATACGAGAGCGAAGCAACGTGATTTGTTTATTTCAGTACATAATAGTAGCATGCATAAAGCCTTTCATACCGTCTTGTAGAGTGTCACGATGACAAATGAAGTAATCTACCACACCAGCGTTTTCATGGGTTTGACGGCAGTAGCCCGCTATTTGTCTTAATCGTAATGTTCTTAGATCGGGTACACTGCAAGGCACGATATACTGTAAATGATATTAGACCTGGCTGTTGTTTTTCAGTGCAGGTTGGTGTACTTTAAGAGAGGAAGACGTTGAGCGATTCCTAGGCTTCCGAAGTAGGCGAAAAGAATTAATGTTTCAACATCTAAGTTAGCGATACGGTGATCGTAGTCGTTCTTTGTATTCTGAAATTTTTAAGCCAAGCACAGGACTCAAAATTTCATTACATTATATACTGACGATTAGTCATTCGGTGATCTTTATCTTCAATCATGTGAAGATCCTGGTGTGAATCAGCTCAAAGGTTTCGTAAGAGTCTACGCACCATTTTCATCCAAGAACCGGAACTGGGGACCGCAAATTAAAAAAAAAGCGATATATTCGATTACTTTTGGAAGCTAACACACTGGCAAAGGATTGCGATTACCTAATATAAAGAGAAGTTACGTTGGGATGCACGATTCGCATTATACGGCATAATGCACCGGTAAATTATAGCATACCTAACAAATACACTCAATATAAATAATTAGTTGACAGGTAAGTGAGTTCTTTACATTATTATGACGCGAGAACACTTCAGAAAAGGCTAACAGGAGCAGTTGTCCTCTTTTTCCAAGGTTAACACTAAATTTCATTACTCATATTTAATACTAAATATAGCATATAGGCTTATAATTTTATCTCGGTAGTTAACGAAGTGGAGATACGACCTTGTGACATTTCGATTTCGATTGAAGAACTTCTGTTGCAGTGATAAGGTGTCAACTTCAGTAAAAAAATAAATCTGTTTTTTACAACCTTATAATTAGAAAAATATGGCATCCTTATGTAGTAAGGATTTTTAGACGAACTTTATGTTACTTTGAGTGAAGCCTTGTAGTGAAAGTTTTGGCTTAAGCATCTTAGATCGTATTTGTAGAATATAGCAGCGTAGGTAAATGGAGGTAGTTAAGTTTGAATAAATTTCGTGCAGCGTATTTGTATAACTCTACTTTGTAGTCACGGAGAAGAAAAATGTAGCACTTTCTGTTATTGAACGTATCTGTTCTTTCAGAAATCAAGCAATATATCGTAAGAACGCGTAAGACTTGGTGTGGCCGACACAGTAGCTTCACACAGTGGTTCTACATCTTTGACGATGAGGTTAGCTAGATAACTTAAATTTCAACACTATAACTGTACCTTAAATACAGTAAATAAGCATATCTTCCAAATTTATCTCGAGGAGTTTCGATTTATCAAAGACATCACCTATTCCCTAAAACCACAAGAAATAACCCCCGTGCGTGTGCCTTTACGGAGCAGCCTCAGAACCGGCAACAGATTGCATTTGCCCAATTACGGATTTACAATTCTCGATCACCGTTTATTAGACATGCTTTTCGATTTCAAATACATAGAACCAGCTGTCTGTTGCTTTACAATTGATCCCTTTCTTTTCTCATTTGTCCTTCCTGCCTTTGCTTGCCACAATCTTCGGAAATGGTAGTATGTTGAAGTGTATCAATGCAGATGCAATATGCATTAAAACTCTGCGTATGTTGAAAAACGAGTGATGGCGCTGCCTAAAACAATATGGAACTAGAAAAATGGAAAAACTAGAGCAGGTTATGCTCAGCGATTTTTTAAATGGGTTATGATCTAAAAAAAAAACATACCAGCGTACTACCGCAATTTAAGTCTGGTGCTAAACGACTTAAAGTCCTTGAATCGTGCGCAATCATTCAGCACACGACTTCATGTTTTTTAAATAATTTGATTCACAAATGTGTCAGATCGATTCGCATACCCCTGAGAGAAATAAAACTGGAGACCTTATAGGTTCAGATCTCCAGTGCTGCTCCGACGCCACTTAGTCAGAGTTTCCGATATATGACTGACAGTTCCGCAAATCGTAATGTTCGCTTATATAAATTGCTGCTGCACGCTAACAGATAGCCTACTAATGTCTTTCACGAGATAATTCTAAACCTTCTTCTTATTTTATTTATTATAAACAATTCTACGTTTCTATCTACAATAACGAAATCTACCGATGTCTAAGGGTGTTCCTGGTCAGTTTGGTTCACGAGCGCGTCTTCGTGGTATACATTTCTTTGTCTCTCCAGAACTAGTAAAACCATTTTTTTAGTATATAAAAAAGCTGTATGTACCGGACGAAAATATACCGGAAAATATTTGTCAATGTTATCCTTGATTCCCAAAAGCCCTTTCTTTTTTATTTATAGAAGAATTGTCCAGGGGCTCATAAACAAAGAAAAATAGTGTTTTGATTTCGGCTATATTAGTCATTTATTGCCCTTACGCCGCTTTAAATCTATAGAAAAATACAAAACCATGACAGGGCGGATCACAATATAAACAAAATATAACAAAATCTCAACATGGGATGCTCTGAAACAGGAAATAAAATATAAGAACGTTTTTACGAAACACGTGATTAAACTTGACAACATCAAATACTATTGAGAAACGAGAAGCAATAATTAATAAGAAAAGATACCAATAATTTGTTGAACAGTGGTTTCCGCTAAAAGTTAGTTGCGCCGTAAGATAATATATAATAGGCTGTTACAAAGACCAGTTTACTGCTTATAATGTATTTCTTATAATATAAACTTATCATGCGTTGAGTACAGAACGCACCTACAACGTATGTTTTTTGTGGTCGACGAACTTTAAGAGAGCATAACTCTATAGATCACCCAATACAAAAACTGGGCGCAAAAATATTATTGAAAACTTGCTGTTTCTTTCAGGCTTTTTGTTGCTTTCTAACAACGATAATTCGATGCCAATTTCAGGTGTAGTACTTTACGCTAAAACAATTATAGCGCTTATCATATCGATATTACGCTTATATAGTTTGGCTTAAGATCTAATCTTGATTGGCCAAGAGTCTGCTCTGGATATCACCTTCTAACCTATAAAAAGGATCCTCCCTCCTTCAAGCGAAGACTCCAGCAAACATAGAAAAGATACGTGCATTATTCGACAGAGGATTTTCCATCTGAGTAGCTTATATCTTATGTTCTACCAACACCATCTCGGACATTCAGTTACTGACAATTTGACAACGAAATATCTCCTTTGCCCTTATAGACCGTAGATTTTTTGAGGACCTGCGGTCCCCGAAAGACCCATAACTTCAGTGAGGACAAATTAAGTGCAAGAATGGCCCGTCCCATTTCTTCCAGCTTAACAATAACAGTCCGAAGAGTCTTCACCCATCTGTCGGAAATCATTTAACCTACTTCATGTAAAAAGCTAGCGAAGATTGTCAACGTTTGCATTCTACCAGATTAAAGTGATTCATCGAGTCCCGGGCCAGTGTGGTGCTCTCCTTCAGCAGTTAAACTTGGTCCGCCAAAAACATACTCTTCAAATGCACATGTACCCCATATTTCTCAAGCGTCACCAGCACAAATCTTCATTTAATACTAGTAACGACTGGTAGGTGTTATTCAGATGAGTTAGCTAGGGTCAATCTGATCCTTGAGTCCTGGCTCTCAATGGATTGTTGTTTCCCAGTTCGCTCACTAAGCTCACCTTTTGTGCATCATGCTCACACGCATTCAGACCACGCCGTAGCTTTCGGTGCTTTTTAGCTCTGAAGTAATTTTGATTCTAGCGGGCTTAGTGCTGCACTTGTGTCCTTTATCTGCTATCTTTATATTACATTAAACTCTAACGTCCATTGTGCTTGACATATTGTACCATTACATTGTCCCATTAACGCGGGCACTGCACATAGCAGTGCTTTGAAATGTACATTGATTCCGTCTCCGAAGTCAACGGCTTTCTTCTTTATATCTTAGTGTGTATATTCTAGGTCCCAGCCTAGACAATTCCATCGCTCCTTTTGTTATTCAATTTAATTATCATTAGTCAGATATAAGTCGCCTCGGGAACCCCTCAATGCAGATGGGCTCGTAAGTGCTTAGCTGCCTTTTTGCTTGCCGATTTTGGTTTGATGGTAGCTTTTTTCTGACTGGTGCTAACCTAAAGCTATTATTTCACAAGTTAATTGTTTGCGAGCATCACAAGCTTCTGAAGGATTTTAGCCTATGGTATAACTGTTATCACATTATCATATGTCATGTCGACGTTGCGCGTTATTGGAATCCGAAGAGGATTCACCGGTCGACATAAGAGTCTTCGATTCAGAATGAAAAGCAATTCTGCCATCTTCCATTGCCCTGA